CTGCGTCTCACGGTGAGAGAGACTCGTACCCGGCAATGTCACGATCCCTTTAACGTTTTCCCCAGAGCTAGACTGAAAAGGAGGGGACTGGCGGGAGCTCTCAGCCTCCTGAAAGCGCTGGGATACGGGAGGATTATTACGCAGCTCGGTCTCCTTTACCTGCAAGTTTTTCACAGGAAGTGGCCACTGAATTTGTTTTGTTTTTGTTTCTTGAGACAGGGTCTATGTAGCCCGGCAAGGCCTTGAGCTCGAGATCCTCCTGCCTCAGCCTCCCGAGTGCTGGGATCACAGGTGTGTGCCACCACGCCCGGAGGCCACTGTTTCATCCGGTGAGATTTCCCCTGGGTCCTGGTCTTAACCGAGAGTGCCACCTGGCCTGCGGAGGTGCCATGGCCGCGCGAGGTCCCCGGTCTTGGCCTGGCGATAGGGTTAGTGCTTGTGCTGTGACGGTGAGCTGTGACACAGGGACACTTACAACATAGGTCCTCGCCTCAAAGGCACAGGTGGGCGTCCCTAGTGTCCTCTTTGTGAGTTCTTTGTGAAAACAGTAAGACTGAGTCTGCCAACAATCAGCAAGAGAACAGGAAGAAAAATGCAGCTGAGGTCACCGAAAGCCTGTAACATCTGACGGACACTGGCATGGGGTCCCGGCATCTTTCGCTCAACTCTGATGTTATTTTTGCACACAATTAACTCTAAAGTACGGGTGAGGTCCGACTTTACATGCAGGTGTCCTTGCACAGTCAGGAAAAGAAAGCTCAGGGAAGGCGGCAGCCTTACACTTTGGGCATGCAAACGGAGGACACCGTTTAGTTTCATTTTCCTTTGACTTTTTGTCCTTTTGAGATAAGGTCTCTCTGTGTAGCCCAGGCAGGCTTTGAACTTTTGGTGATCCTCCTGCCTCAGCCTCCCCCAAGCCGGGGTTACAGGTGTGCGCCACCACGCCTGGCCATGTCTTTGACTTGAAGATGTCAGTAGCTTAGAATGACAAATTTCTCCTGTTCAATCATTTGGAAAAGAAATCAGTCATGCTAAGAGATGTTTGACTGGATTTCTACTTAGCTCAGTGAAACAAATGAAATGTGAACCTGAAAACTACAAAACATGATAAATTAAAAAATATATTAGGGCCGGGGATTTAGCTCAGCGGTTCGGTGGCCTGCCTCACAAGCACAAGGACCCGAGTTCAATCCCCGGTACCCCCCCAAAAAAATATATATATTAGATAGAGCCGCAGAGTTGTTATTCCCCTAGGATACTTTTCCTAACTAAATTGTCTTTGGCATAACATCCTCAAGTGAAAAAGAAGAAAGAAAATAATGACAAAGGCTACATCATTTTAGCCATGGAGCTGAGAGTAAAATTCAATCCTTTTCCTCAAACTTTAGATTCAGTTTTTAATACTTTCTTCTTCTCATATGTCGTGTGTGTGTGTGTGTGTGTGTGTGTGTGTGTGTGTGTGTGTGTGGTTTTGTTTCATTTTTTGTACCGGGATCGAACTTGGGACCTCGCGTTTGCAAGGCAGGCAGCGGAACCACTGAGCTAAATCCCTGGCCCCTATATTTCCTTTTTTAAAAGACAGGTCTTGCTATGTAGCCCAGGCTGGCCTCAAACTCAGGGCGTCCTCCTGCCGTGGCCTCCTGAGGGCTGGGATCACAGGCGTGCGACGTCAGGCCCCGCTTCCTTCTCGTCCTTCTTCTTAGGGAAAGGAACATCGGATCTGACCCTAAGAACAGACTGACCAAAACTAAGGGAAGCAAAACTATTTCTGTCTTCATTACTAATGCTTCTAATGCGTACATGTGTGTGTGTCGCCCTCAGGAAAACACACTTACCATTCAGGACATTTTTTTAAAACAACTTTGCCGAGCATAGGAATAAAAAATAAAATTCATTTTGATGATGATGGTAAAAAGGATTTTCCTTTAAAGTCATCAAAATAACTCATTTCCCGTTTGTTTCTCTTGCTATCCTTTTCTTACACTTATTGAACACTGATGTCTTTTGGTCTTTTCCTAAACATTTAGAGAATTCCATGAAACACAGATTCAGAAACCATTCGCAACCAGCAGACCGATGTGGACAGAAGTGTGGACAGACGCAGCGATCACAGGTCCCAGCATGCGAGCCCAGAAGACAGCTGCAGATCCACTTGGTGCAGACGTAACAGGAGAAAACCTGGTGACAGTGCTGGCAGAGATGCGGGACTGGCTCACAGACTGCACGGCCTGGCTCGCCCTGGGCTGCGGCAGAGTCCTCGGCCCGGCCCGGCGACGGAGCTCAGCACGGTCCACCATCTACTTCTAAAGCTGAATTCTGCCTTCTAATGATGGCTCTCTGGGTCTTTAGGACATTACATCTCCAATTCTTAACCTGATGCGCTGGGCAGCCTTAAAATGAGATCACGCCCCAAATGTATTGTTTGCATAAGACTTTTAGATTCTCTCTTTTTTTAAATTTTTTGGTCCTGGGGATCAAACTCACGACCTTGTGCTTGAGAGGCAGGCGCGGTGCCACTGAGCTGATCCGGGCCCTTAGGTTCCCTCTAAGAGGAGCCGTGCACGAGAGGTAACAGGTAGTGACCCAGTTACCAGGGACAGTGTTTACCTCCCTTTGGAGTTGGAGAACTTCCCGTAGACGCAGCATCACGACTGTCGGGCTGGCAGTAACCGCTGTTACTCTCCAGAGAACGGTACCGCGACTCCCCAGGGACAGAGTACAAACCAAACCCGACCCCGCTGGACAACGGTGCTGCTCTCAGTCATCTGTTTGTTTGTTTATTTGGTACCAGGGATCGAACTCGGGTCCTTGCGCTTGCGAGGCAGGGCACCGAACCGCTGGGCTAAGTCCCGGCCCTTCAATCACCTGTTCAGAGGCTTCTCACCGTAAAAGATTTCCATTTTAAAGCTATCCCGGGAAGTCCTGGATTAGACCAACCATTTAGCTGTATTCAGAGGCCACAAATTCCTCCATATTCCAATCTTCCTCGCTAGGCTGGAGGGGCGTCTACACTGGGAGCCGGTTCCCCGGAGCCTGACTCACAGACACACAGCTGATGACAGCGGCTCCGCGGCAGCTGCTCTGAGTCAGCCGGATCCGGTGACTTCCCTGACCCGGGGGCTGCGGCACTGAGGACCCCACGAGCAGACTGCACTTACTGGGACTGCAATCTGCCCAACTTCATCTTTTTTTGGTACTGGGGATTGAACTCGGGACCTTGTGCTAGTGAGGCAGGCAGTGGAACCACTGAGCTAAATCCCCGGCCCCAACTTCATCTTTTTTATGCCCAGTTTCTTTAGCAGTAAAAGATGGAGAAGTGAGCAACCAGGCCTCACAGTGTGACTATAAAACGCGATAGAACTCAGCTCTAAAAGATCTTGGGAGGTGGCAGTGCTGCGGCGATACCGTCCTGTGAGGCCATATGGGCTGGGCGGCCCCGAACAGAGGTGCTTGGGGCGACAAGTGTCTCAGAGTGGACTCCGGACACTGGGGAGGGAGCCAGGTCTGGGCACGAGGTTCATTTACATGTCACACAGCCTGAGGGACCTGTACATGACTTTTGTAGCGTCCTTGCTTATGGGTTTTAAAACTCAGGGCCTTGCGAGGTAAGTGTGTTACCACTGAGCTACATCCCCGGCCCTGGTGTGGTTTTTTGAGACAGGGTTTTGCTATGCAGCCAGGCTGGCCTCAGAGATCCTCCTGCCTCAGCCTCCCAAGTGCTGGGATTCCAGGTGTGAGTCCCCACTCCTGGCCGTGTTGCGTTGCCTGCGACCTGTCTCCTGAGCTCGCTGTGGAACTTCCCCGCTGCAGCGTCGTGTCGGCTCTCGGAGGTGCAGTCTGGAGTGTTTCGGGTTTCTGACTTCGGTACCAGGGCTGCTCACCCTGCACTGGGTGAGGCCTCTTCTGCGCAGGAGACGTTTTATCAGCATCCTAGGGCCTCACTGAAGGGGCTGCGGAGGGAGAGCCCGTGCTGGGCCAGTCCCCCTGAGCCAGGGCACAGCTCCGAGAGCAGCACTGGTGTTTGTTCTGCTCACACGGCTTCGGAATTAGTAAGCAAACATCTTCTGACTGTGCGTTCCCTCCCAATTCCTCATCTCACACTTATTTAGTCTTAGAAACTGAATCTGCGTTTCCTTTTTTGGTAAAATCAAGGCGAAAACTTAGATGCCTGAAAGGGGCAGTAAAGAGCAGCCCTTCCAGAATGAACCAGACAAAAGCAGCCAGCATGGCCTTCACTGTCCCTCCCTCGGCCCCCTGGTTTCTTCTCCTTCTCTTTTTTGAGAAAGGGTCTCGCTATGCAGTGCAGGCTGGCCTTGAACTCACTGTGTAGCCCGGGCTGGTCTCAAATTTGTAGCGATCCTCCTGCCTCAGCCTCCCTAGTGCTGGGATGAGAGGCGGGCACCACCACACCCGGCTCCTTCCTTCCTCCCTCTATCTTTCTTCCTCTGCAGCGGTAATGAATCTTAGGTTTCCCTTTGTTTGATGCCACAGGAAAACACCACGGACTCACTCACAAACAAAGCAGAACGAGAAAGGAGCCCCGCGTGCGGACAGAGCGGGCAGCACTTACCCCGCGCTTCAGGCTCCGGAAGCAGTGCATTTTGGGTTTGGAGGTCATGAACTCGTTGAAGCGGTGGGAGAGGGGCTCCTTTGGCTGCTTGGGAGACTGAGGGCCGTTGGGAACAGCAGAGGGTGAGGCGGAGGCGGGGGGCGGAGGAGG